CTTTTTTAATCCCTAACAATATACTTTTTAAGGATTTGGTATACTTCTATTGTAAGAACGGGAAGTAAAAACAGGAAGCATGTGCTAAAAATCTGTTCAGTTTTGTGCTTGTTTTAATTAAAGCCTGCAGTCCCACACATGATCAAAGTCCCTCATTCCTTGGAATGTAAATTTTTACTGTACACAATTAAATTTCCACTTCTAAATAAAGAAAAGAACACAGATGAAGAGATCATCTAAAAGCTCCATATAAAAACCATAATAGTTTAATTTTAGTGTGCATACATGGTTTCAATGATTCCCAGGAAGAGAAATTCAGTAGGAGACAATCTTAAAAATAACTCACTACATTTCAAAATCTGTTTTATCATTTAAACTGGAAAACAGAAGGTGAGAATAAATTACTCATTTTAATATCAATACTTAAAATCCAAGCTGCTGTGGTTTACTGAACTCCGATTCTAAATTCAATGAGTTTTACAAAATAATTAGGTTAATGAAAACTAGAAGTGCTTACGCCCTACTTTAAGAAGCACCTGCATATTCTGAAAAAGATGATGAATTTCACTTGAACTACAACCCAATTCCTTTAATCTCTGAAATAGTTCTTGCCCAATTCATTTTGCCTGCTTCAAAGTTATATTCAATATCTGGTCAATAGTATCACTGAACAACAGTACTCTAAATCATCCCTTTTCATTTTATATTCTGGGGTGGCGGAATGTTGCCATTATTTTTCCTTCTTTTAGCTATAGCATATTAAGGTAATTCATGCTTTTGTCTTAGTTTTGAAAGGAATTACATGCCAATATCTAGGCAATAGATAGCCCTTTGTCCTAATTTAAAATAACTGTGAGGTTGTACTCTACAGTAGCAAATTTGTAATCAACTTAAAGACAATGTCTTAAAAGGACAATTACACATGTCATAACAGAATAAAACCCTGGTGCTTACAAATAGTATCGTGCTTGCTAGGCTTGTAAACAGCAGCAGTAACACTAAGAAAAAATCGCCACCCAGTGATGCAAATGAAAACTGCAATTTGTTTTTGTGTAAAATGAGTACCCTGGAGGATTGATTACTTCAACTTCATTCCTGAATGAATGAATAGCTATTACCTTCTTATGTGAATAGGAACTGGTTACAAAGGGAAAAATATTTTCTACTAGGTGTTCCTTTTTCCTTATTCTTATTCAGTACGCTCAACATTTTACAAAGGCTAAAAGCTTTGGAAACCTTAACAGAGAAGTTTTACACCCAAAAGTGAGCTAATTGTATATGAACAAGCCCAGATATTCGTATTATCAACAAAAGTGCCTGGGCTCTGCCCCGACCCTGAATTTCAGGTGTCAAGGTGGTGACTTTAGCAACTCATCAATGCCATCTAATAATTGTGACCTAAAGCCCATTTGTGTTAAGCAGGAAGACTTGTCTAGGGAAAAAGACTCAAGTAGGAAAAAAAAATTTATACTTTTAACAACATAATTTATTCTGACCTTATTAAAAACAGGTTATAAAGGCCACATACAATGATAACTTTAAAAATTCTGTAGACTACATATTGATAAGAATTATTGCCATAAATATAATCATGTTTCTAAGTCTTCAGTTGGTTGCAGCAGTTAGAACTTATGCCAATCATATATATTTATTTTGCCGCACTGTTACCTGTTGCACATGAGGAAAAGAAAGTTATATATGGATACGTAATACCCAAAGTACACATGTGTAAGTATGGGGCCATGTTAATAATAGAATTTTTTATCTACCATTTGCTCTATTTGACATTTTCCAAAATATCTTCCACGGTATGCTCTGAGGCTAAAGTAGAATGTAAGTCAGCACAGAACCACACGATACAAAAGAGAAACTCAGCAGAACAAATTCATTTTTTTAAAGATATTACCATTCTATTTTTAAAGACAATTAACTATATTCCTAATATTCTGCCCTGATTTTTATCAGTCGATTCAGTTAAGTCCTTCTCTGTTGAGGGTTTTTTTTTTTACTAACTAAACAATGTACACCATCTTCCAATCTCAACTTCATTAAGGAGATTTATAGATTTCTACAATACTTTATATATTTAAAATATTAAATAGTGAAAATTCTGAGGGTAGCCAAAATTAAAGCCAAACTTTAAGAACAGTAATGTGCCAACACTCTTATTAAAACAAAACAAAGAAAATCAGCACTTTCTCTTTGAAACAGTAAGGAACACAATTTAATTTTTTCATCTCAAAAATGTCAATAATGTCTTAAAATTAAAAATGACAACTTGACACTTTAAAAAGGGACAGCTTAGTGTTTAAGAGGGTAGGAGGTAAGCTCTGAAGTCAGACTGGGCGAATTTCAGATCTGTGGTATGTTAGCTGGAGGAACTTGGAAAAGCCAAGTTCTCACCTGTGTGTAGAGATATTGTTACCGAACCCAACCAGTAGGGGGGTTCCTACTGCTTGCTGCCTACCAGGCAAATCTCGAAAGACAGAGTTCAGTGGAAAAGAAAGGGGTCTTTTATTTAATTGCAAGTTTCTGCCTAAAATATCTGGGTAGCAAAATTAAGAGGAACAAAAAAGAGTATGACATCAAAACTAGCTATTTAAATATTTGTCATTACAACTTCTACATAGGTTCAGAAACTGAAAATAACAGGAACAAATAGCTGTTCACACTGCTGACTATTATCATCACCAAGGTCTTTGGAAATAACGGCAAGTTTCTGCCTGAAAGCCCCTTCCCTCTAAGACGCCCAAAGAAAAATCACTCTGTCACCCTGTCACCTCAGTTCAAGGTTGCGCCAGGAACCTCTTTTCCCACCCAAAAGTATTATAAACATAGGTGGCTTAGCTGGTCCCCAGTCGCTGCCCAGCTTCAGGCATCTATCCAAGTCTGTGTCCCCAGGCCTCCAACTTGTGAGGCCCTCTTCCTACCACAGCTCACAGGCCTGCGCTGGCCACCATTGATACACCTACCCACACCAGGAGAAAGAAAAGCATTAACTTTTTGCTCCCCAACACTCCATTTAAAAGTCCTCTCCCAGAATCCCATGCATGTTGAAAGCCAGTGGGAGTGTCCAGCCTTCCAACCAGTGAGGGCCAGTGTTGGCCATATTTGCTTTTTCCCCTCCTGTGGCCACCTTGTTCAGCAAGGGCGCAGAGTGTCCAGTGCCACCTGTGCAGCTCACACCCCTCCCCCTCTAGAAGAAAGAATACAGAAGAGTTTAGAAAATTAGGCTTTACTGAAGCAAGTTGCTGAGAGAAGAATTTATCGTGAAACTCCTGAAGAAGCAGCAACTTCACATTTCACAGCAGACCAGAGACACCCCTAAAGTTCTGCTGTTAGTGAGGCTAATTCATTCAGTGAAAGGGAAGCAACACTGGCAGCTTTCAAGGAACAGAAGTTGGTGTTGACAGAGATGGTTCTGACTTTGAAGCCAAGTCACTAATCCCTGACATGCTAAGAAAGGCCAGATAAGCAGTCATGTCCACAGCACCCCACTTCATTCCAGTCAGAAGGCTGGAAAATCACAGGCCCTATGCCCCAGCATTTTGCTTCAGGTATAGGGCATCTGGTCGGGAGAGAAACAACTCCAACCACCCCAGCTACTGCCCCTGTCCCAGGGTATACGACCCAGATTCAGAAGAACACCCAGGCCTGCCAGACTTGACTGTGGAAAAAATGGGATAATTGTATGGGAGCATTTAACTATAAGAAAAACTGTACCCTGAGAGCCCAGAGATCGAAACCAAAAACTGGGGGAGGGCCAGAGAGATAAAACCTCTGTGTCCCTGCTGTAAGAAACCAGATCCTAACGACACAGGTGAGAGGCACAGACCCACCCCCCACACTTCAGAATGTGTGGGGTCCCAGGCATGGCAGGAGCCACGGCGCTGGGAGGGTCTAAGATGAAAATTCAGGATCACTCTTCAGTCCTACCGATGACTGGGCCAGGACAGAGGAGGAGGTGGGAAACCAGAACCTGAGAAACATCCCGGGGAGTCGACAGCCTATAGGAGTTCATGCAAATCCTCTCAGAGAAGGGGCCCAAATTTGGTCCCTTTGGGAGGAGGTCCAGGGTGGAGGAGGATGCCCGCCACAAGGGGAAACGAAACCTGGTTTCGGTTCCTCTTCACCAGAATACAAATCCCTTCCTCAGGGAAAGACACAGTGACAAGAAGAAAATGTTATTTTTCAGAATTCCCCTTGGGAAAAACACAGTATTTAGTTGAAAAATATTTTTGAATCATTAATATCTTCATAATTTTAAGTAGTATTATATTATTAATTTTATAATAAGAAATAAACTAGGATTAAACATTTAGCAGACACTGTTTAATACTGGATTGAAAAGTATACTGCAGTCAGCAAATATTTATATTTCAGATGCCTAACTTAAGATGCTAATTTAAGAAGAAAGGCTTGCTATTATAAAACAGAACTTGAAATTATAAGCATTCTTCAAGACTTCTGGTTTTTAACAATTAAAAAGGTTGAGTAGCATACCCCAAAGAAGGCAAAGAGAGATAATTTTACAAACTTCATTTGAAGGACATTCTAAACCAATACATAAGAAGAGTCTGACATGATGACAATATTCTAAATGATTAATGAACTTTATTGTGATAGATGTCATATAAATTAATTCTGGAATCACTGGGAAATAACTTTAAAGATGAATCCTACAACTTCCAAGTAATTTTTGAAAAGAAAAATGATCCATGTAATTATGATTTCATTTCTTTTTTTATTCACTTATTTTTCAAGTACATTTTTCTGTCTATTTCTCCCATCCCAGCCCACCCCTACCCCCGCCCCTTGCTCCCCACCTCCCTCCCATTTCCACCCCCCTTAGTTCTCGTCCCTGTGTCCTTCCTATTTGTTCCTCCAAATCCCTCCCCCTTTTTCCCCTAAATTCCCTTCCCTCTCCCCTCTGGTCACTGTCCCCTTGTTCTCTATTTCAGTGTCTTTGTTTTTATGATTTCATTTCTTAAAAGACTCACCTAACAGGACAAATCCATCTGCTTCCTTCTCCGGGGTGGAGGGCGACTTCGACTCTGGAGGCTTCCTGAAGAAGTGAAACATCGCCGCTGCCGCTGGGATCTGCAACAGAGACGCAAGGCAACGTTATGGTCAGGTGAAACCATAAACGTCTTCCCCTTGCTAGTAAAAAGCCAAATACAAAGATATCCTAACATCTACTGTTGAGGAATTCTACGAGCAGACTTAAAGAGCGCGCCTCTCTAGGTATGGAAGACAGAGCCAGAAGTTGCAGCATGAAAGCACATGGGCCTGGAACCCCGTCACCTTTCTCGATCTCTGAACACGCAGGAAATAACCCAAGAAATCACTACACGTGAAACTCAAATCAACAGATAACACCAGAACCTGGGAGGACCACGCTTAACATAAACATAAATCACACACCTGATTTGATTTGAGGCAAGGGGGGGGGAAAAAACCCTCATGCCATAACTAGCTTAAGCCTCATGAAACTAGGGCCACCTGAAAAAAGAAGGCACTTCAAACGCCCTCTACAGTTGGTTATCTGGTTCAGACGCTCAAGAACTCTACCCGCTGTAAAACTGCAGCCAACTGTAAATCCCCCATCAGCACAGATATCTGTGCTGGTGAGGTGACTGTGCTCTGCCCCAAACCGCACATGCGCACACCCCTTTCTCCCCCCATCTTTGCACACACAGGCAGGCCCACCATTCCTAGAAAACAACTGGGAAGAAAGTGGAAGGGACCTTGCAAGGACACATTACACTCAGAGGCTGGTCCCCATAAACACAGCCATGAAACAGCAAAGAAAGGAGTAATCCTGGCGGCAGCAAATGCTCTACATTGTTTTCATATTTCCCACCCAAACCAGAAAATCAAGGAGGGAGGGCTAATAAGGATTTTATCAGAGCAAAAGCCTTTGAGAAACTGAGAACTGAGCTGGGATTTATGTAGGTCGACCAGCCCTGGGCTGCAGAGCCAAGTGGAAGGTAAAAAAGCCTATTTATTATTAGAAAACATACCTGGCAGATTTCACTTTTTAATGGAATAAGAAATGGACAAGGAAAACACAAGCCTTGTGAAAGAGAAAATGTTCTGGAAGAGCAAAGGAACAGTCTCTGGAATCCTCCAGGAAAGGGCTCACTGGATACAGTGACGTGGCTGCGAAAGAAAAGTCTGGAAATAGTGTGGCCCCCTCAACAGAGTCCAGGAGACACAGCCTCTGTGAAACTGGTGAAAAACAAGATTAGAGGGGAAAGCAAAAGGAAAAGATGAAAAGTCAAGGAATGTAATAAAAAAAAAAACCCTGAGATAAAAGAAACCCATGCAAGAAATAAATATCAAAAAAATATTTGGTTGGTTTGTATTAGGAATGTTCAAGTTCAGACTTAAAAGACTGGAAGAGGCACTAACTTCTCACCCGTGAGCAAATGGTTAAAACCAGAATGAAGAAGGCCTCTGAAGGAACAAAAGCTGATTAAAACTCAACCTCGGGTCAGGATCAAATCCAGGGTATAGCCATCACTCCTGACATTAAACCCCCTGTGTGAATTCACATGGCACTCAGTAAATTCTTTCACTCAGGATAAATGGTTCAGGAAAAAGAGATGAAGGGGACGGATCCCCAACAGAAAGCCAGGAGAGAAAAGATAACCTCAAATCAAGAAGAAGGAAGCAGGGAACGCACATAGAGGTAAAAAAAGATGAAAAACGTAGAAAAATCTAAGAGTCATATCTAGCCAAAATTTTAGAACTGGCTATTGATACATGAAGCTGACTAGAATCAAAAAATCAGCAAAATTTCGGAGAGTTGTAGCATTACAATAACCACCATTCTGGATTAGGAGAGGACCACAACCTGACAGGCAGGAAGCTGCCAGAAAAAACTGCTCAGCCCACAAAGGAGGCCTATTCTCAGTACCAACTTCAGTGGTAGCCAAAGAAGTTACTAGAAAAAGAAGAAACTTTAAAAAGGGTGGGACCAATGGGCATGGAGAATAATAAACTGGGGGTGAGAGGCTCTTTCAGGAAGCAGAATCTGGGCATAATTAACAAACATTCTCCAACTCAAGGTGGGGGTCCCCTGAAATGCCTGCTCAGTGGGATTGCAGAGTTGCTTCCGCTCTGCTGCATTTCCCACCCTTCCTCGCCCATGGGAGTGTTTTTGTCGGCTATCTATCTCTGTTCCATGAGGGTGGGAGGGGGATACAAGGGACAGACTACTGGTCTTTTTAGTTCGTGCAGTCTCCAGACCAAGTGGTGTCCTATCCAGACCAGGTGACAAATTCCTGAACTTTGAGCATGATGCTATCGACTGAATGGGGCAACCTGGATTACTGTCCTCAGGGCAAGGGGCATGAGTTATTTTTGCCCATGGCAGGGAGAGAAAGCTGAGTACGTGGTGACCAAAAATGAGAACCCCAGAATCATGAGGGCCGTTCACGGCCCTTTTCCTTAGGGAGACATGTATCAGGACTGCAGTCTACCCTTTCTGAGGTAGGTGTGGCCATGGGGCTTGCTTAGTTCACCGAGTCACATGCCATCAGAGTGCTGTAACAAGGAGCTTGGTGAACAGAGAAAGGGGCCCTTTAAAAAATGGTTCTTACTCTAATGTACAAATAAAAGCCTTTGAATAGAAGGACTCAAATTTCCAATACCTTTTCATGTTTGGCTACAAAACAGAATGGAACAAGCATGGGAAACATAAAGTTGTCCTAGTATGTCATTCTCCGGCCCCCAAAGTTTAGACAGGTTGTTATGAAAGCCAGACCACACTAAGCTATAGTGTGAGAATCTCTTTTTAATGCAAGTATTGTGTACAGAATTTATACCTTATATAACTAAGTGAAGCATTACATTTTTCATGACCTAAAACACAAAACTGAAACAATCTACAGGCTGCAGCCCTTTGTGATAGTGTGTTGCACTGGCAACGAATAATGTTACATTCCGTCCCTTTAGAGCATAAAATTCCAGGCACATTTAGAGGAGGGATAATTTAGGCTCCAAGAGTCAAGACACTGCCGGGCATGGAGGAAACAGGTCAGAAATAAGAGGAAGGTGACAGAGACAGCAAAGAGCTCAAATGGCAGCAAGGCCTAGTTCACTGCAAATGCCCACTGGAAGCAGCTCTCAACTTGTTACAGAAGTACCAGTCCCCTGACACCCAGTATTCTGCCCACCCGACCACCATCTTAACTCCCTCCTCTACAATGGTCCACCTCAAGATGTTTTCCCTGGGACCATGGTTCCAATTTTCCGATACAAGTCTCGGAATTCCCATATGTGATCAGTCCTGCTGCTGACATTAATGATTCATTCCACTAAAGACCTAAAAGTCAGTCACCGGTGTGTCTTGACAGGAACTGCTTTGCGCATCAAAAGGCTATGCCTGAGCCCTGGCTGGTGCAGCTCAGTGGATTGAGCACGGGCCTCACCAGGGGCAACCATACATTGATACTTCTCTCCTTCTCTCCTCCCCTTCCTCTCTAAAGATAAATAAATAAAATCTTTTAAAAAAGTATTTACTTAATTTATTTTTAAAAAGGCTATGCCTGAGACACTAAAACTTATGTCATTATCTTTATGCCATATTTTTTCATGTCACTGAAAAACACACACAGTGCTAGAAGTTTATCCTGGTAGGCCTGGCAATTACCATGCTAAGATCTTCCCTCTGCGAGCCAGCTCGCACAGTGGGAAACCTGCACGGTTAGCTCCCCACCCCGGCAGCCAGAGTTAGGTGCCCTGCTTAAGACTAGAACCTGGGAAGGAAAAAGGGAGTAACTGCAAACCCTACTATAGTATGTCAAAATGCGTTACATACTCTATCTCCTATGATCCTATTAGAAGCACCCACCAGGCACACGTAATTATTCACAATGTGTAAGAACTGAAGGTTAGGTATTGGTCCAAATTCACATGGTTAGTAAATAGCAGTGCTAGAATTTTAAACCAAGTCCTTTTGGCACCAAAATTGGATGCTTCTTATCAATAAAGCACCAAAGAAAAGGAGCCCTTCACACTTAATGACACTTCTGTTGGACTTTCATATAGTTCCCAATATTAGTCAAACATTTTCAATTAATTTCCTTTTGGTCTTGATTATTCCCCAAGCCTGGCACGGCTCTATGTTGTGAAGACATCTATGTCAAGACCTTCACCGAGATTACATTTTATAAACATTAAGTGCTCAGGCCAGATACTGAGCGAGCACTGCAAATGCAGCACTCACCTTATGATCGGGGGAAACAAGCCGCAACCCCAAGCCAACCCTACTTCTCAGGCGATGCTTGGGGAAAGGAAGAGTCGCTTAAGACCGCCATCTCCAAAGCGGAAGAGGCCTGTACTGGCTGCACTACACCAAGGCTAGTAGGTGGTAAATCTCAAGCCCTCATGCTTCTGATGCACATGGCCTTGACGGTTGGGCTTCTTTTGCTTGGAGTTCTCAAGTGTACTCCAGTCTCGTTTCCTTATTTACAATTACCAGTATTTTTAAAATTGTCTACAATTTAAAACAAGCAATCTTTGCATTTGGAAACAGAAAAAAATACCAAAATTTATTCTGAAACATACATGGTAATTTCCGAGCTGAGACCCACCTTGGAATACCTAATTCTCATACTGAGGATCCTGGAGCTGCCCTGATATGGGAGATAAAGAATTCACCTACACAGGCTGGGGGAAAAAACCCACTTGCAAATCACAAATCTGAAATAGGATGTGTGTAAAATACATAAAGATGTGTGTAAATAAAAAATATAAAAACTCTTAGTCATGGCCAAGTAGCTCACTTGGTTACAGTGTCATCCTGATACTCCAAGGTTGCAGGTTCAATCCCCAGTCAGGGCACATACAAGAATCAAACAATGAATGTATAAATATGTGAAACAACAAATTGATGTTTCCTTCTCTCTAAAATCAATAAATAAGAATATTTTTAAATATAAAGAACTCTAAAAACTGGGCAGAAGACATGAATAGACATTTCACCAAAGAAGACATGTGAATGGCAAAAAATCACATGAAAAAATGCTCAATATCATTAGTCAAGAGGAAAATACAAATTAAAATCTCGATGACCTACTACTACCTACCTATCAAAATATTTAAAATTAAAAAGGCTTGCCATGCCAAGTGTTGGCAAAAATGTGGAGCAACTGGAACTCCTGTACACTGTGGTAGGTGTGCAATACCATACAATTACTCTAGATAACAATTTGGTCGTTTCTTAAACACATAAACATATATCTCCCATATGACCCAGACCTTCTCATTCTAGGTATTTACCTAAGAAAAATGAAAGCACATGTCCACAACTGTACACAAATGCTATACAGCTTTTTTTGTAGTAACAAAAAACTGGAAACAAGCCAAATGTCCAACAACAGATAAATGGATAAACAAACTGGCATTTCCATACTATTCAACAAGAAAAAGGAATGAAGTCCTAAGATATACAACATGCATGAATGTCAACAAAACTGAGTGAAAGAAGCCAGACTAAAAAGAGTTTATACTGTATGATTCCATTTATATGAACTTCTAGAAAATGCAAACTAACGTATAATGACAGAAAGCAGATCGGTGGTTGCAGGGGGAAGGGGAGGTGCTGGGAGGGATCACCAGGAAACTGGTGAGGGTGATGGATACATTATCTTGCTCGTGGTGATGTTTTGAAAGTATAAACACATGTCAAAACTCTTCAAACTGAGCACTTTCAACGTGTGCAACTTGTATGTTTACTTTTAAAATACATTATTAGCACAATATTCTAGATGTCATAAATGCTGTAGTTGACAATTATGCAGAAATTTATCTCAAATCTCTTAAAAACCACTTTGTGTGTATATTACGGCTACAGTCTTTGCATTTAAAAAAATGCATCTTTTCTCTAAGGATTCACACAAAACTGAAAAATAAAAGGAAGGTATGTTCACTATTCAGATGGTGCACAAGGGCTAGCCTGATTGCTACGTAGGGCGATCCTACAGTTCTGAAGGGGAGGACAGTGAGACAAGTAATATATTTGTGTTGTCCAAGTATTCTGAGGCTTACCTTTGAAATAATACTTCTATGACAAAAGGATTAAAGGATTGAGGAGACCTTGTTTTCTCAACTTTGAAGATTTTATTTAAGAAGGGGAAGCATTTACAGGAACTAGTATAAAGGACACGTGGACAACACCTAAGGGGATGGAAATGGGAGGGAGGCGAGGAGCACTGGGGGGGATGGGCTGGGATGGGAGTAAAAGAGTACTTGAACAACAATTAAATTTTAAAAATTAATAAATTTTTAAAAAACATTTTATTTATTTCTAGAGAGAGGGGGAGGGAGAAAGAGAGGAAGAAACATCAGTGTGTGGTTGCCTCTCTCGCACCCCCTACTGGGGTCCCGCCGGGCTGCAACTCAGACATATGCCCTGACTGGGAATCAAACCTGCAGCCCTTTGGTTCAGGGGCCAGAACTCAGTCCACTGACCAGACAGAGGTTTTTCTCAATTTTGTAATCTTCTTTCAATTTCAGCAGACTGCTGGGTAACGGTAACTACATCACATAAACTGAAATTTCTGTGTGATCAATAAATAGCAGCCACTTAATGACAAAAAAGTAGTATGTATACCTACATATTTTTCTTCACATTGTGCCCAAATCCAATAAATACATATATTTCATACTGCTAAAAAACTAAAATCTTAAAAAAGGTTTAAATATTCTTCTTCTGTGTGGTACATTATGAATTAAATGATTATATAAGAACAATATAAATTTACTTAACAAGTTTACTGATTTATTCTGAGAGATACAAAAAGGAGACGATCCATACTTTTGGTAGTTTTTGCTAATCTTGGGAGACAGGATTACATTACCAAAAACACCCCAAGAGAAACCTCAATGTGCAATTACCTCTCTTGTACGCCCAACCGGGGACCTGCCCGCAACCCAGGCATGTGCCCTTTGGTTCACAGGCTGGTGTTCAATCCACTGAGCCACACCAGTCAGGGCTGAAATGTATTTCTTAATTTGGGTTGCCTGCAAAAAGGTTTCAAAGCTGCTAATCATACTTTGGTGCTCACATACCCCCTAAAATATTGAAAAAGTATACTTTTTAAGTTCACATCTAAAATTTCCATTGACAATTATTAAAGATTTGGTTTCTAGCATATTATAAATGTTTATATGTTGAAATAAAAGCAAGATATCATTCTTTTATGTTTAGCCAATGTATTATAAATACCTTAACATTTTCATATATACCATCAACCATTTAAAAAATAGATCTACAAGTTCTTTTCTAACAGCAGAAAATGTTTTATACCGCTCTTTTTCTCCTTTAACTCTTACTTCCATCCACTTCCACTGGTCTAGAGTAGCTCTGAAATGCCCTCCGAACACACTAGTACAGCTTTCCCAACATGTCCAGATGAACGCAAAGTCGGGGTACCAGCCTTCTCTTTAAGAGAGCCTGTCCTCTAATTAAACACTCTCAACAGTTCACTTGTCACCTAACTGGAAAAGCAACAGCAACTGTATATATAACCACCATTAAAAATGGAACTTACATAATTTAGTAAAACGCACCTCCCTAATATGACTATATAGTTGCTTTTACCAAACTGAGAAATTAAACACATATTTGTAGCCAAAACAGAACATCCAAAATACTCAGAAAGTTGGAAGGGCTCGAGCTACAAGTATATGCTCATAAAGCATCAGGTGAGGGAGGGTTCTGGAAGAATGCCGAGTTGCTACGGAGAGCTTCATAGTGTAGATTTCAAAAGGTGCTAGGCTGGGATTTTTAAATTTTATTTTATAGCTTTTTCTTGATCCTTATAGTTTAAATCCTATTTTACTTCATATTAAACGGAAGGCAGAAAAAGCTTTTCAGAAACAAGACCCAGGAGTGAAACATGTATCACAACATGATGACTTTTAACAGCTGGCTTTGTCTGCTGTGGCAAGCAGCGGAGGCTTCACTTGATAGTCTCCACTGCCAGCTACTCGGTACTAGTGTGAGATATCTACCACCAGAAACTGCAATCACTATAATGATAAAATCCCGTGATCAGGGAAGCATTACAGTATCTTGAATTATTAAGTTTCGGAATTTTCTCTAGCAAAATTGCTCTTCAAGCATATGATAAGGCATCTTGAAAAATCACAAGTTGGCCCAAGAAAATCTTTTAATAAAACCTTCCTTCTTCTCAGACACTATTCCCATCACTGAATACAATCTCATTAGGGTAAAACAGACCTCATAGGTAGGAGTTGACTCTCCTCCATTACTTTGTACATATTAAGTATGACTTTCAAAGCCTCTATTAGAATCATCAGGAAAATTTTGTGTAGTTTTCTTGTTGTTGTTGGACTGTTTTTCTTGTTGTTGTTGGACTGAGGGATTTTTGTTTTCCTTTAAATTCTCTCTTATTTTCAAAATCGAGAATGGTAGCCAGACAGTGATAAAAAGAGACTTTTTTCTTATTGTACCTTACCCAGAACAGTGTAATAAAGTCTCCTCTGATTCTACTAACACAGGTGGGGGGAGGAGGGGACTGGCCCACTCCACGACCTGGGCTTCTCTATCTCTTTGCTGTGAGCGCACTGGTCCAGATAATTCTTTGCTGTAACCTACCTCTCTGAGGATGAATGTGATCATCTGGGATGTGATGCACTCTAGTCAAAAGACATCTTAATTCAGGAATTTTTATTTTTAAAAGAAAACAACCATAATTTTTCTCTTTTTAATGCAGTACATGTGAACACCATGGTTTTTTTCTTTTTTTCTAAATAGTGTAAGGAGATACAGAAATTTGGAAGATAAAGTCCCTGCCCTCTGGGAGCTTGTAAACTTTACTTATAAATTGTACCATTTGGGTTTCATTCATTGACCAAGAAGATATTTTAAAGACTTTAGTGTTATCCCAATTCTTCTAAATTAATAATACAATGATATATTTTAATGTTTTAATGAAATTACAAACATAATTCTACATAACTGTCACATATACACACATACACACAATTTTGGTTTTGGCTTAAACAACACTGAAACTACCAATACAATACTAATTTCTATCCACTGCGTTCAACGTTGCAACTCTGAAATGAAAAATGACATCCAGAAAAAGACCCCAAACAACTCTAACAAAAACCATCATTTCATATATTTTTTAAAAAGTGTCTTAGGTGAATAAACACATTTAAATAATGTCCTAAGGGAGAAGGAAGTCATCCGATGTAAGGACGCACCTTTTTACAACTCTACAGCCCAGGGAAACCTAGAATGAATAAAGAAAAAAAAAAAACATTATTCAGCGTGGGTCTTTAAGTCACTGTATCTGCTCACCTCCATGCATTTAACACACGACAGGAATCATCGCATTCACCTTTGAAAAGGACACACTCCCCAAGTGGCCCACTCAAAATCTGTATCATTTGATTTTCAACATAATCTAACTGCATCATCGAAAGTCTTTACTTCCTACCCAAATAAAAAAAAACTAAAATTCAACTGTTTATTCATTTCTTCACTTTTAACTCATTCAAGTTTCAAAGGGCAAATACTGGCAAGGACTGTGGTAGAGAAACAAAACCAGACAAGATCCTTCCTCCAAATTCAAGGAAATACCCAATCTACTTGCTGCCTCTTTGGTCTGCTTCCCCACCAGCACCCACAATGCCAGTGACACAAAGTGCAGCGCTGAGCCCTGTGCAGAACTAGCACCAGCCATGCGGGAGGCTAACAGGTTGCTAACGGTCTAGTCAAGGAATATTGCTATCGGTCTGGAGACTTACTTCAGACTCCTGAGTAAATAAGAAAGCTGACTGTTTTATCTCCTCCCAATTTTTCATCAAAATGCACATAAAAATAACACAAGACGACAACGGGCAATAGCTCTGTCGACCCTAGGCCAAAGCCTGAGTCAAATGTCCAAGGACAGCACCATCACCAGGGATAGACCAAGAGGTGCAACTGACCAAGAGTTCATAACTACTCTCTGCCACATGCTACATCTTCCACCAAGGAATGAATGAATAGGTGAATAAACAATCATAAATCAAGACAGTGAACCACAAAGATGGGCGAAGCATTTCGTCCATTCTCATTGCCTAAACTTAATTCTAAAATACAAAAGCTGGACCTACCAGAAACAACAGGGTGCCAGACATCCCACTGCCTAAAAACGCTTTCTAAAGTCTGGCAGAACTAGACTCTCTCCCCTATTCTTACCCCTCCCCCAGGAGATCTTCCATATCCATGTGAAGGCCAATGATTTATAAAACCTGCCCAAGGAAGACTTTGTAAAACAGAGTCCCAGACAGAAAAAGCTCCATAAGCAGGGCACAGGAAAAGAGGTCTCCTTCAAGTTCAAAGAATTGCAAACCGCTCCTCATGTCTATTCATTCAGTGACCTCGACAGTCTGAGCCACTCCATCTCAGCCCGGCAGGCTCAGAGCTGATGAGTGCGGGTAGGCCAGTGGGAATTGAATAAGGTGAGGGATGTGTGCAGGCAAGAAGCTGCGTGCGCTAAAGTTCAGTGAAGGAGACTGAGGCAATCTCACCCACCCAGTCTCTCCTTCCATACAGATGATGAGAATAGGATCAACATGAAGTACAGACCCAAAGACTAAGAAGACTCTCTCTCTGATGATTATTTTCCACAAGAAACGGCTGAAAAGTAGAGAAAGCATCTTGGTAATACTCTAGTGGTTGTATGAGAACACAATCTCTCACATCCAGGCTGCTGAGCAGAGCTGGGTAAACCCAGATGGACTTGGGATCTCCACTCTCAGACAAGCCCATACACTTCTGTCCTTCTGGGGTTTTCTTCCCTCTTCACTATCTTACTTTTCATCATCACTAAGATGTCCAACAGATACTCAAGGATATTCTGGCCATGCTAACAATAGTTATTAGTTGTAATTTGTACTGAAGTATTTAATATAGCAAGGCACTGTGCTCAGTGCTTTACATACACAATTTTATTTAATGCTTACAACCAGATGAAGCGTCCTCTCCCATGTTAATAAACTGCAACTGTGAAAGGATGAATAATTTGTCCAAAAGTCACTTCGATGAAAGTGACCTTGGTATGTTATATAAGGAAGGCATTCCAAGTTCTCGTCCCCACATAGCTTTACCCTCAATTCTTGCCATACCCCTGTACCCTAACTATACCTTCACCGGACCTTGTTATTCCCAACAATTAATAGAATCCCCACACTGGTGCTCTAAAACAGCATCTGCACTAATGTCTTCAATATAAATAAGTCTTTTTTAAATGTATGGCTAAGCCAACAAGAGAATAAAGAAATTTTGTAGAATCCATAAGGACAAAAATCAACAAATCCACAAGGATGTGTGCAAATAATAGAGCTGATTTTGAATGGCTAAAAGCCTAAATTTTATTGGTCCAAGCCCCACAGGGAACAAGGATAAAAATGGAGCCCTAACATCTTGGATAGAAGGAAACACAAATCTCTGGAGAAAGATACCCTTATACTAAACTCATGAGAAACCAACAAAAAACTTCCAAGAAACATTCATTCATAAATTTAAATTACCATACAAATGAAGAAACAAGCTACAAGGAAGAGTCAGCAAAATAAAAACAGTGCAGAATCAGACCCATAAAGACTGTGGGTATCAAAACTAGACTAAAAGCAGACTTACTTTATATGACCAAATAAAGGGAGACCTTGAACAGAAAAGTTGGTGTCTGTGCTGCCTGTCACTACCAGAAACAATAAGTAGAGACAACTACTAAATCTTCATGGGCACCTTATTCAGATGCCAGCAACCTGAGGATATACCAGGTTAGGTACCCTCAAAAAACCATCTTAACATCTCATCTCAAGCTGGCCTTTTTGTAAGAAGAATAGGTAAGAGGTCTGGAAAAAAATGAATCTAAGACTTGCAGTCCAGGGGTGATTTTCCTACTTCTTTATCTGTTGACCAACAACTCAGATGCCATCTCCATCACTTGAAGACGCCCTGGGGCACAAAGGTGGAATTGCTTGTGGGCCTCCTGGGGTCTTGTAGGCCATGCATTCCAGTTCCTGGAATAACGGATTTCCACACACATTAGTCACTTAAGCCTAACAACTAAGGCTACAATCTAATTCTTGAGTTCCCCCATCCATTTGAGACTATGACCAAAAAAAAAATCAGTAACTACTAACATTTGTAAAAAGAACCAAACAAAACTTCTACACACAAATAAATTAAAAATAGTATTAAAATTACAGCCAGTGAGTCACAACTGAATAGAAAATTAGTGAACTGAAAGATATAAATAATCTAGAGTTCAGCACACAGAATCAAAATAATTGAATTATATTGATAAAACAGTGGTCAAGAACACATGAGAAGGTCCTTCTTAATTCGAACTGGAATTCCTAAAGAAGTTCGAGAGTAGGAGAGAGATGTTAGAAAAAAAACACACAAACAGAAAATCCTTTTGAGGCCAAAAGTTTTTCTGAAAGAAAGGATTTATTGAGCCAAATGGTAGCCAGAAAAGGACCAGGCCCTGGGAATGAAGTCTAAACCACCAGCATCAGCACCAGATGAAAAGGTAACATGTCCATCACCCTGGACTGAAGGGGCTCTTGCCTAGAGTGGGTTTGCAGAAGAAAACGGGTTTTGAAAGAATTAACATTGGTGATAAAGCGGGTGGGGGAAAGTGAAGCAGGAAAAGCTCTGGGACAGGTGAACAATCCATATGGAAGAAGTACTTAATACTTCTGGATTCCTTGTAGACAACAGTGCAAAAAGTTCATCGTAAATAGGGTGTTGTGACTTGGCTGTTCCTTTTAGATAAGAGCTGAAAGAGAGGCCTGAGAGTTGATCCCGAATTTCAACACACATGTCAGGAATGTGAGTAGTCTTTGGTTGGTTTGGGCCCTTTACTGTTAACTGATCAACTTTGTCTCTTCCTCCGACCCTGAGGCCCGCTGTAATTTCATTCAGAATATCTCAGATTATTTCTTTTATCAGAGGCAAATATTTCTACCGTTAAATAATTGCTGAAAATGTCTCCATACTGATGATAAGAACAACATATTTACCAGCCAACTGAGTAAGAGAAATCCAGTAGAATTACAGAACAGCAAACACAAGCTGAAGATCAAGCAGATAACGAGACATGAAACCTTCAACAGAATCACAGGCTAAAAGAAAACATTACAAGAGTAAAACACTATCAAAGTAGTTTTAAGAGAAATTAACTGTCCATTGAGAATTCTATACCACTAAAAGACTACCTTTTAAGAATAAGGATGAAATAAACATATTCAGAAAATGCAAACTGACAGAGTTTACTACCAAAAATTCTCACTAAAAGAGCTTCCAAAGTTACCACAAAAAGAAAAAAAATACTACCAGTTTAAAAAAAAAACTTGAGTTGTAAAAATAAATAGTAAGTAAAAAAAGTAATAAATATATGAATAATTCCAAGCACATATTAACTGTATAGAGCAATAATAATGCCTAATTTATGGGGTAACAAGAAATCAAGATAAAGCTAGAGCTCTAGATAACAGTGTTCAAAATATAAAAAAAGGAGTTATTGACACAGAATAAAGAAACTTTAGGCTTTAATTTTAATATGCATGTTAAAGGGTGACCACAAAGATTTTTAAAGAATATATAGCATTTGAACTACTATAATGGAATAAAATGCAATTAAGAAAAAAAACAACCAAAAGTCAATTCAAAGAAAGAAAGGATAATTTAGAAAGCAGAACCCAGGAAGCACAAATGACTATAGGAATGATTCCAAAAATGTCTGTAACCCCAATCAATGCAAATGAAAAAGAAGGAAAGGTAAACCTCTAGCTATAGGCAATATTTACAAGAGACACACCTAAAACTTAAGTACACAGTTCCCAGAGAGAGGAATCCGCCTCCACACATTTGGGCGATTGTTATACTGGAAGCCTCCTGGTTAAAGAAGTACCTGTTCTTCCCTTTAGTTAAGACCTGCCCAGTCACCCCTCTAATAAACCACCAAAAAGATGATGGAGTGAGCATCCAAACCCACAGATCTTGTCTCCCTTCGGAGAATTACAGATGGAAAAATACAACAAAAAAACTCTAGCCAAAAGAAAGCTGCTGTGTCTCCGGTAGTAGCTGAGAAAATTAACTTTAAAGCAAAAAGTGTGATCTGAGAGAGTCACTACTTCATTTCATCATCTGACTTCACAATCTTAATCTTATATGTACCAAAGAACAAATCTTTAAAAATATATAGTACAAGTCATCAGAAATTCAAGGAGAAACTGCCAGTGCTACCATCTGTAGGATGCTTAACGCAATTATCTCAACTGAGACATTACTCAGACAAAAGGTAATAAAATAGAAATATTTAACCAGTGCAATTAACAAGCTTGATCCAACAACTGGAAAATGCAATTTTTCCAAGCGTACATAAAATATTTACCAAAACTGCCCATGCACATGATAACCCTTAAGACAAGTCTCATTTACTTAGAAAGAATTAGTACCAGACCTTATAATCTAATGATAAGTAATAACATCAGTAAAACGAAGTAACTTTGATGAAGTAAAACCTATACAACTGGAAACAAAAACCTATGAGTCAAAGAAAAAATATGCTGGAAACTAGAAAATATTTAGAACTTAGTGATGCTGTAGGAAAACTTCTGGGGCACGCCCGTAGCAGCAGGAACAGGGAACTAGGTATACTGGGGATATCGAGGGTCTGGCTCCAGACCACTGCAATAAAGCAAGTGTCACAATAAAGGGAGTCATAATCTTTTTGCTGGTGGAGGGTCTCGCCTTCAATTTGTAAAAAACACAACATCTGTGAAACTCAATAAAGCAAAGTGCAATAAAACATGGTATGCCTATATTCCAGACCCAGAATGTTTTACAGGTGCATTCTCCTGAATAGCCAACGAAGAGATAATTTCAATTTTACACAGAATCCACGAGAACAGAGGAAACGCTCTACAACTCGTTTCATGAGACTAGTATAACCCTAATAATACCAGAATCTGACAAGGACTACATAAGAAAGAAAAATTATGGACCAATGTCACTCATGAATTTTTAGGATGAAAACTCCTAAACAAAAACAACAGCAAATCCAATCCAGGAATATGTCATAAGAGATAATATATCACAACCAAGTTGTGTTTCTTCCAGGAATGTGAGCATGGTTCAATACTGGAAAATATATTAACTTCCATTATCTCAATTAAGGCAAAAACATTTGATCACATTTCATAACCACTCAATGAAAACTCTTACCAAACTGAGGACAGAAGGAAAAGTCCTAACCTAACAAGCAGAACCTCAAGTTGTAAAGGACTTCCAGGCAGGCTCCTTAAAGGAAGCTGAGTCCCATGAAGGCACACCCCCTTTGCCTGCCCACTTCTCTGCTGTCTGAAATGGGCAGTAGATGAGTGATGCTCCAGCACCTATCCTGGTCTATGAGATGACCTTAAGGATGGAACCAAGTACTCTGCACAGAAGAGGAGGAAGACAGAAGGAACCAGGGTCCCTGATATCTTAGAGGCACCATCACACAGTTGCATGCCGCGTTGCACATCTCTGGACTTCTCTGATATATGAAACTAAGCCTTTGTGTATTTAAAACACTTTTCCTTATGCAGTCAAACATTACCTTAACTGAAACAACATTTCTATTCAAAATGATACTGGAAGCTCTAACCTGGGCAAAAGCAAGAAAAATAAAATATCCAAGAACTGTTAAGAAACAAAACTATAATTATTCACATATAAATAGAAAATTAATCTCACAGAAAATTACTAGAAATGAGAAGTTAGCAGCACAGCCAGAAAAACTGTCAAATACATTTCTATATACCAGCAACAATCAGTTAAAATATTTGATTTTAAAAATACCACTTATAATAGCAACAAAAGCATGGTACCTAGGAATAAATCTAATCTACAAGTCAAAACTTTTATATAGAAAATTATGAAACTTTTTGGAAAGATTTTAAGAGGACCAAAATAACTCAGGAATAGCAAAAGCTGTCATTAAGATGTTACTTCTCCTGAAATCAAGTCGAGGATTCCAATGCAACTGTGATCAAATCCCAACACAGTTTTCCATGGAACCTGACAGGCTAAAGGTTACATGAAGTAGCAAAAAGCCGAGGACAGCTGTGACATTCCTGAAGAACACAGCAAGGGAAAAGGACTTTCCACCAAGACATGAAAGTGGTAAGGACACAGTAAGAGAGTGGCCACCAGCTCAGGGACAGGAAAACAGACCAATGGAACATAACCGAGAGCCCAGGAACAACCCACACATTTATGTAAACTTAAAGTGACATCAAAGGTTGGTGGCAACTGATGACGGTCAAAACATGATGCTGGGACAAGTGAAATGAAAACAAAGAAATTGCCTGTCTGACAGTATACATAAAAAGTCAATTCTAAGTGAGGAAACATTTTGGAATATGAAAGACAAACTATTTCGAAAATTTTTAAATATGGAATACTTTAAGAGTTTGTTTTAAGAAATCATGTTTAAATCAGATTTTTTAAAGTGACATCAACTATACTAAATTCAGGGAAAAACATTTTAACTATATTAGAAGTATGAGTTCTTTTCAAAGGAAGAAAAATAAAGAAGTACAAAAAAAATGAGAGATAGCCCCAAAACTACAAAATGCAACATTACTATCTACACTAATACAAAAAGCTCTCAAACATCAGCAAGAAAAAAATCAGCAAAAAAACCCCTGTAAACACAAAGAAAGAGCAAATTAAGAACATAACAGGAAACCATCTCACATCTATCAGATTAGGGGAAAACAACTTTTAAGAATTGCCAAAAATGTGGATTGACTGGAACTCTCCTATACTCCTGATAAGAAAATTAATTTGTACCATTACTTGATGAAAAACTTGGTTTTACTAGCAAAGCTGAAGATGCACACTCTATGTACAAAAAAGATTCATAGAAGCATTGTGCACAATTGAAAGGAACTGCAAACAATCAAAATGTCAGTCAATTGCCCTGGCTGGTGTGGCTCAGTGGATTGAGCACTGGCTTGTGAACCAAAGGGTCAATGGTTCAATTCCCAGTCAGGGTACATGCCTGGGTTGCAGGCCAGGTCCCCAATGGGGGGCATATAAGAAGCAACCATACACTTATGTTTCTCTTCCTCTCTCTCCCCCTCCCCTCAGTCTAAAAATAAATAAATAAAATTCCTTTTAAAAAAAGTCAGTCCATAACAGAAAAACAGCAGAATGAATCTCACCTACATGTGTCAACATGCATTAGTCTCAAAAACAAGCAAAAGAAACAAGTCTAAAGATATATATGTTATTTCATTTATATAAAGGTCAAAATCGGCAAAATTAAACAACATTCCATTTGGAAATGCATACATGTATAAAGAAAAATATATAGAAAAGCTCAGTGTTTTCCAGATAGTGTTTCTGGCTGGTACAGAGCAGTTAATTGAGGAAGTACAAACTACTAATTGGTAAAGTTCCATTTCTTAAACTGAAGGGGTTCACTTAATCTCTCTGAAAAATACCGTATACATACCAGCCATATACACTTTTCCTGAACATTATATATTACATAATGAGTTTTAAGTAACACAAAAAGTATCAAAAAAGCTGTTTTAAAACATCTTGCTGTTTGTTTTTTTAAATATGCTGTTGGTAAGTAAAAGTGGTCTTTTAACTATAATAAAACAATGATATTAGCATCTGGTACTTTAAGGGTTGCTCTTTAAAAAGTGGTATTACAGATTACATTAATCTGTACCCTACCCTATTTAAGGTTCATCGACATTTTTTCCAAAGCAACACTAAGACGGAAAAGACATTGTCTTTGGAAGAAGAAATATAAGATAGACTTTACTGACTTGCACCGGTACAACTACAACTTTTTAACACACCACAGTACTCGCGACAGGCATGTGTTAACAAAATTCATTAAATTTGTTTTAGTGATAGCAACATTAAAAGACAATTATATTCAGTGCTAAGCAAATACTGGGAGAGGCTATCATTTAATTATGGTACATTAGATTTCCAATTTAAATTGCCGTGTGAAGTCTCAGAAGGATCTTACTTGCTTAAGGCAACTGTGGGACTAAATTGGAGACTCCAGCTAGGTACCAGAATTTGAACGATGACAACTAAGGAGTCTTAGGCAAACTCACAGATTCAGTTTTGAAAAAAAGTAATAATATCCAATAAAAAGCGTTTTTCCAATTTCTGCACCACCGCTGGCAGGTATTTTTATGAGCACTCACTCTGGAATATCCCTGGCAAGGCAGATACTAATTGGTAAGTAAAACCCTTAAAATCAACAGCCACAAGAGTCTGTGAGAGATTTGAGAATCCTCCCCCATGCTTCGTCCATATCTCCCTAAAACAGGTAATCTTCCTCTCCTACAGATCTCCCCTTCAGAATCCTAGGGATCGGAGAGCAACGGGGGAAGGACGGCTGTGGTATTAAAAAACGGTCCGCGAACCATATAGATAAAAGTTAGTCCGTTGGGACTTAGAAAACATTATGTACCCTCTCATTTTGAGAATAAGGAAATTACGGATCAGGGAGAAGCGCACCTGCTCTGGATCTAAGTATTTAAATTCTTCTCCTTCCCTAGACCAGTGTTCCTTCCCCTACTCCCAACCCACTCCCAGATGTTAATATGGGGGTGACACCCCCATATTAAACCCCCACATCCACAGTGGGGCCAAATTGTCCGGACTAGAAAGGGTTATAGAGGTAAGCGTGTCTAACCCTCCACTTACGGGGGGCGAGGGGGGAGAAACTGACTAGGGAAAGTGACGCAGCCGCGAAGGTAAACAGCCAACCCTCTGACACCGAAAGTAAATAGCTCCGATAGTAAACAGCCAACCTCCTAAGGGGGTCCGACAAAGGCGGTTAAAATCACTGACGACCCTACTTCCTACGGGGGCGGGTGTAAAAACAAAAACCCTATCCCTAGATTTCATTCAGCAAGAATCACGCACTTCCAACGCAGAACCTGGAAGAGGAGGAGTAGGGAAATGCCAACAGCCGGTGCACAACACCGACTCCCGCCTCTCTCTTCCGTAACCTGTTAGGGTAGAGATGGGTAAGAGTAAGGATGTTGTGCCTCCCGCGAGAAGAGGTACCTGAACCTCGCAGTGCAGTCCCCTGCTGCATCAGCACCGGACCCGGATAGCCGGATACCTTGCTTCCGGGGTCAACTAGAGGCGGGGATCCTCCCCGGTGGAGCACTCGGGAGCAAGTCTCAGGCCCCGCCCCATCCACTCAACGCCTCCACCGGCCGCTTTACCACGGACTGGAGCAACTTCCGGGACGCCGGCGCGTCACTAAGCAGCAGACCCCCCCACTTCCGGACGCATCCCGCCTTTCGCTTTCCCCACGCGGATGGCACCGGTCGGGTCAAGATTTCCGCGCGTTTCATTGGTAGAGTGGGAGTGCTGCTCTCTGCCGATTGGTGCCAGGGAAATCTGCGCCATAGACGTCCGGGGTTTGTCGTTTCAGTCCACTGCTGTTTCCCGCCGGTCGCACGACTCGCTCGGCAAAGATGATGGAGGTGATGGAGTTGCCCAAGTCGCGCATCAACGCCAGCATGGTAGCTCAGTTCATCGACCGGCCTGTTTGCTTCGTAGGGAAGCTGGAAAAGGTGTGCATGCTCTCCGCCCTGAGCCCCGCGTCTGTAGTCTTGAGTGGGGGAGAGGAAGGTGGCAGTAAGGAAAGGGACCACTTCACCCTTTCCAGAGGAAGGTGGAGGGTCGGCCCCAGAGTGACTAACGGAGAGTGAAGGGCAGAAAGCCTTAGCATCACTGCGCCTCCGATTACTTTATTTTGGCACACTCCTTAGCTCTTGTGGCCCGTTTTGCAGTGTTTGCGAATGCGCTCCGCGCAAAGTTCGAACGTCTTCCACCCTCGTCCTGTTTACGTTAATAGAAACTACAGACACGACTCCCACATCAACTTTCTTGATATTTTAGTTTAATCAGACTTGACAGTATAACTTTCTTGTTCTCTTCTGCATTTCTCCTTCCGAAACTTCCTTTGTTCTTGAAATCGCTTTTCCCTACAAAATTCCTGGATGGTCCCTTCCTATCCCGTAGCAGTCTGTTGTCTTATGCCAGCGATAAAAAGTATAGCCCCTTCATTATTCTGGTGAAAAACAGTCCCAAAGTCTCAGAATCAGTGAACCAAGAAAGCTGAGACAGAGATAACTAATATTATGTAAAGTGCTATTTAGCATTTTCAGCCACACAACCTCCTTTGGAAATAGGTGTTACTCTGATTAGGGAACTTGGGTGGGAATAGTGTAAATGCTCAAGACAAACCAGATCTGACTGACGCAGCTGTCTCACAACTAGAACCTAGATCTTTTGACAATTCTTTTGGCTTCATCATGCCTGATTTTTAGAACATACCCTCAGTGGGACATGTACTGTTTTAAGTCATGGGTCCCGTCGATCTCACTTTTAGATAGTATAGAACCCCCTTTAGTTTTTAGCATATGGTTGTGTGATACAGCAAATAAAAACACAGGACATATTTATACTGAAAAAAGTGTTTACCTGAAATTGAAATATAACTGGTCATTTGACTGGATATGGTAACACAAGATTACAGTTTGAACCAAATAAACTGTTCAAAAACAACTTTCTATGTGCACATTTAAGTTTGGTCCAACCTGCCCATCTTTTATCATATTTAGTATTTTTATTTTAATGAGATTTTAAAAGTTTTGTTTATGTGGTATTTTATCTATCATGTTTTTCTATTTTAGATTCATCCCTCTGGAAAAATGTTCATTCTTTCAGATGGAGAAGGAAAAAGTGCAACCGTTGAGTTGATGGAGCCTGTATGTTTAAGTATTCTATGCACATTATAGTTAATTCTGCATCTTGTTTTGGTTTGTTGCTGACATTTCTGAGTTCTTGGAGTGGATGTATAAAGGATCAGCTTATAAAACTTCCCTGGCTGTAAAATTAAATTTTTGTCCTCTTACTATATATCCTTTTACGTGTCTAGCCAATGATTCTTTGGGCTCCATTCATTTTTATTATGTCTCTTAAATACTGAGTGATAATTCTCATGTCTTATGAAAGACCGTAAGCCTTGGCCTGGTAGCTCAGGTGCTTGGAGCGTCATCCTGCTGGGCCAAGGTTGTGGGTTCCATCCCTGGTTGGCATGTCTAAGAACCAACCAATGAGTATATAAATAAGTGAAACAACAAATCAGTGTTTCTCTTCCTCCTGCCCTTAAAATCAATAAAAAAATTTTTTAAAATTGAGAGACTATAAAATTCTGTAAGGCAAATCTTTCATTTTTCTTCTTTGTTTCACATTTTTTAAATCTGTTTTCTATTTTTGTTTACATATGTTTTTCAGTTGTCACTTAATTTGTTTTTACATTTTGTTTCCTTTTGTTTTGGGGGGGTCTTTTATTAAGACAAATGCCTGTGCTGTTTAGTTCATGTATATATAGAACACACTGTAATATACGATTATAGAAAGTTCATTTCAATGGGTCTTTTTGAACAAGTTACTTCTCAGTATCTTGATTTTTGTCTTTAATTTAAACATTTAACTGTGTCTTTGGACCTGGAGCTACTGCTGAAGGTAATTAGCACTTATGACATGCTGATAATAAGAACTCAAACATGTTTTAACAGGTTATAATTCAGTTTTTGCATTGGTAAATTTTTAAACTATTTTGTTACATGAAGTGGGAGATTAGTGGATTGTAGAACAGTTTTCCACGTTAATAATCAGCTGAAAACGTGATGATATGAAGTTAATATTTTGTTCTTTGTGTCAGCTTGATGAAGAAATCTCTGGAATCATAGAAGTAGTTGGAAGAGTAACAGCCAAGGCCACCATTATGTGTGCATCTTATGTCCAGTTTAAAGAAGACATCCAGCCTTTTGGTAAATAAAGCAGTCTAGTTTCATGTGTTTAGGAGAAAAACAATTTTATCCTTAATTTGACATGTCTTGGTCTTGACTCTCAGTCCTGCCACATTTTTAATTTCTATAGAATTTTCTGATCTCAAAGGAAAATTGAAGGACATTTGGCCCTGCTTCTAAGTATTGTGTGTATATGTAGGAAACTCACTAAAGATTAATTAATGTTTGAGGAAAGAGAATTTTTAAGGGCAAAAATAATATTAATCTTTTGTTTTAATATATGAATTAAAGGCGTCAAATAATGCATAACCCCTATAACCATATCTTATTTTTTTGAGCCACAGTTAGTTAAATAAATGGGATGGTCCATATCTCAGTTTTAGAAGATGAATTGAAAATAAGTTGACCTCTAAAAGGGAGATAAAAGAAAGAGGTAGAAAACTTAAATAATAACTGATCTTACAAGTTTTCACTGTAGAGTAAATGTTTGCTAAAATGTGTCTTTCAGATCTCGGACTGTACAACGATGCTGTGAAAATTATCCATGAATTCCCTCAGTTTTTTCCTTTGGGGGTTGTGCAACCTGATTGATCTCGATTACAGATGAGCTGCACCGAAGACGTTTAAAGAAGGCCCCTGTATTTGAGGGAGAGATTCCTGTTATTTTTATATTTATTCTGTTCTCTTTAATTTCATTTACCTAACTTTATTAGGTATTCCAGTATGCCATTTTTAATGGAGCTGGTATGTTGACAGTTCTTACCTACATCCTTGTAAAGAATCCCTGCTCTGCTGTATGGTCAGATCAGATGCAAAACAATGTAGTTGTCTGCATTTAGTTTTCTGGTTTGTTAATAAAAGTTTACATGGTACACACTGTTGGTGGTGGTACTATTTTTTTGCTCAGACAGTCAAGCATAGACTTGGAATGCCACAGCTATAAGTGGGGTCACTTCAGCTCAAGCGAGTGTACTCTGAGTGAATATAGCTGCCCTGCCATGTGTTCCCTGGTTTTCTGGAAATAATTTTATTAAAATATAATTCACATATTTTAAGTGTACAATTGAGTGGCTTTTTGTATATTCACAGAGTTGTACAACAAACACAATAATTTTGGAACATTCTCATTGCCCCCAAAAGAAACCCCATACCATTTACCTATTAAGGCCCATTCTGTCCACCAGCACCACGCAGCCCCCAGCCCTATGAAACCACTAATGTTTCTGTCTCTATTGATTTGCCTCTCCTGGATATTTTATGTAAATAGAATCATGTAGTTTTTGTGACTGACTGCTTTCACTTAGTACAGTGTTTCCAAGGTTTGTGTATGTTGTAGCATGTATCAGGACTCTGTCCCTTTTTATGGCCTTATTGTGTAGGTATACCTCATTTTTTAATCCATCAGTTGGTGGATATTCCACCATTTGGCAATAATAAATTATTATGAACATTCTTGTATAAGTCTGTATACATATGTTTTTATTTTTCTTGGGTATATACCTGGGAGTAAACTTGCAGCATCAAGTAATAAATATGATTTAAGTTTTTGAGGAACTAAACTGTTTTCCAGCTCTGCCATTGTACATTCCTACAACAATGTTTGAGGATTCTAATTTTTTCACATCCTTACCAACACTTGCTCCTATCTGACTCTTTTTTTTTTTTTTTATAGCCATCATAGTGGGCTTGCAGCGGCATCATTATGAGCAGTTTTCCTTTTTATTTGTTCTTTTTCTTTCCTTGCGGGACAATGCCTAACCAACTGAGCCACATCGGTAAGGGCACTTTGTGCATTTTTATATATTTATTCATTTATTTTATGTTTTTAGAAAGGAATAGGGAGGAAGAGAAACATCGATGTGTGACACATTGACTGCTTCTGTCTGGTCCCCAAGCAGGGACTTGGCCTGCAACCCAGACATACACCCTAACCAGGAATGGAGTCAACAACCTCCTGGTTTGTGGGATTATACCCAACCCACTACACTAAACCAGTCACAGTTCATTATAGTTTTTTGGTTGCCCTATTTCTTTAATAACTACTATAAGTCACCCCTGATGCCCAGAAAAGTCAAAATACCTCCAATTCTTTTCACTACCATTGCCACTACAAGATCAGGCAATTGTCATCTCTCACTTGAATTATTGTAATGCCCCTAAATTACATAACTGGTGCTCCTGTTTCCAGCTTCTCCCTATTATCCAGCCAACTGGATTCTATAGGACATTGATGATGGTAGGAGTTTAACAAACTAAGACCGAAGGATGAAATCAGTTGATGAGAAGGCAATCAATTCACTTCAATACAAATTTAATTGATAGGCCCTTTAGTGAAGATGTATAGAAGATATTGGAAATAAAGGACCAGGCAGAGATTTGAGAG